TATTACGAGGCATGTGAACTAAAAAAAAAGGATAAAAAAGTACAAATTAACATTTTATTACATATTATCGGAAACAAATGTCAGGAAGTGTACGAACAACTATTATTGGAAAATGATAAAAAGGAATTTAAATCGATTAATGAAGTATTTTTGAAATTTGATACATTTTTTCTTCCACAAAAGAATGTGACGATGACACGACACATATTTTTCACTCGTGATCAACGGGAGATGGAGACAACCGAGCAATATGTTTTCGAATTAAACAAGATGGCGGCAAGATGCGAATTTAAAGATTTATGTCAAGATTTGGTACGAGATAGACTCATATGTGGTATACGAGATGGATGTATGAGAGAAAGGCTGTTAAGGGAGCCTGACTTATCGTTAAAGAAAGCAGTGGAAATTTGCAATGTAGCCGAAATGTCGCGAGCCCAGGCCAGCAATATAAAGTCAGAGAAGTCGGTCCACCACGTGCATGAAATAAAACTTAATTCCGAGCAAGATGAACGTGACGCAGAAATTAATTGGGTGAACCGTCAACGTGTCACGCCCCCGCACCACCAGCGCCAGCAGCGAGTGCGTGGCGCCGGCAGCGGAGGTGTGCGGATGCCGCGATCCTCTAAGTCCTCATCCCACCCTCGGGATGAAGGTGGGCACGCGCAAGTGCATCGTCACGTCCGGTCCAGGTATGATCGCAGTTGTTGGAACTGCGGTTTGTCACACGAGAAATACAGTTGTCCCGCCTATGGTCAGCAGTGCCGTAAATGTCATCGGATGAATCATTATTCGCGGATGTGCAGAGTTTATGAAGTAAAGGAGGACTCCACCGATCAGGTAAATATCAATTACGGTAAGGACTGGTTGGTGAAGTTAAAGATAAATAATAATTTTCTAATGTTCAAGCTGGATACTGGGGCCGATGTGAACGTTTTGCCCAAGAAGTATATTCAAAAAAATTAATATTACTGAATCAGAGTTAGCACGTACCGCAATAAAATTACAAGGTTATTCAGGCAATAATATTGAAGTTATTGGTAAATGTCACTTAAAAGTGAATTATAAAAATGATGTTTATATTTTAAAATTCATTGTTGTTGATGTAGATTCACCTCCTATTTTAGGCAGAACCTCGTGTGAGGAATTAAAGTTACTAAAGAGATTTTTTTCTATTATGGAGAAAAAAGAAAATGAAATAATAAATGAATTTTCCGACGTATTCGTAGGTATGGGATGTTTGCCAGGAAATTACAAAATTCAGGTGAGACATGATATTAAACCCGTAATACATGCTCCGAGAAAATTACCGCTAGCCCTTAAAGACAAAATTAAAAATAAATTAATGGAAATGCAAAAAGAGGGCATCATTGCAAAAGTAGAGGGACCCACCGACTGGGTAAATAGTATGACTGTTGTTAAGAAGCCTAATGGGGACCTTCGAATCTGTCTTGATCCTAGGGACCTTAATAAGGCAATTAGGCGCGAACATTTTAAGCTTCCTACTCTGCAAGAAATAACTGCCAATTTATCGGGGGCAAAATATTTTAGTACTCTCGATGCCAAGCAAGGATTTTGGCAATTAAAGCTTCATGAGTCTAGTACAGACCTTTGTACATTCAGTACTGTATTTGGTCGATTCAAGTTTTTGCGCATGCCATACGGTATATCGTCGGCATCAGAAATTTTCCACAAAAAATTGTATGAGCATTTTGATGATATAGAAGGAGTTATTTTATTTGTAGACGATTTGTTAATCTATGCAAATTCTAAAAAAACGCATGATGAGAGACTTCGGTCGGTTTTACAAAGGTCTCGGGAAATTAATATTAAATTAAATTTAAAAAAAATGTAAAATTGGGTTAACGGAACTCACATATTTGGGTCATAAAATAACAAAGGATGGAACGTATCCGGATGATTCGCACATACTAGCTATAAGAAATATGCCCAAACCAACCACGGTAAAAGACGTCGAACGGTTCTTAGGTTTAGTTACGTATGTGAGTAAATTCATACCGAATTTTTCGGAAAAAACATCTGTGTTGCGTGAACTGTTAAAGAAAGATGTAGCATGGCATTGGGATAGTAATCACGATCAATGTTTTAAAGAAATAAAAGAAAGTCTAAGTAAACCTCCGCTTTTAAAATATTATAGCTTACAGAAACCAGTAAAAATTTCAGTGGATGCAAGTAAAAATGGATTGGGAGCCTGTTTGATGCAAGACGAGTTACCGGTGTGTTATGCTTCTAAATCACTAACTAAAACGGAGCAGTCATACGCGCAAATTGAAAAAGAGCTGTACGCATGTGTTTTTGCTTGTGAAAAGTTTTACACGTATATTTACGGCCGCACGGACGTTACTATAGAAACAGACCATAAACCGTTAGTCAGTATTATTAATAAACCGTTAGCAAGCGCTCCTGCAAGGTTGCAACGAATGCTTTTACGCCTCCAGCCGTATGAATTCAAGTTGGTTTATAAGCCGGGTCGCTATCTTTACGTCGCAGACGCACTATCGAGGGCAGTCGCACCGGACAAGCATGAGTCGACACTGCCGCGCGATCATCTCGACGCGCAAGCGCAGGTGTGCGCGCTCACCGCTAGCAATCCGTTGACGGACTCGCACTTCTTATCTATACAGAAATGTACCCAGGAAGATATAGAAATGCAAGAACTTATTAAAATAATAAAACGAGGTTGGCCCTGTCATAAAAGTAAAATAAAAGACATAATAAAGCCTTTTTGGGATAGTAGGGATGAATTATCAGTTAACTTTGGTATAGTATGGAGGGGTAGCAGGGTAATAATACCTAAATGCATGAGATACGAAATGATTAAAAAGATTCATTTGGGCCATCTAGGGATTGAAAAATGTAAACTCAGAGCTCGAGAAATTATGTACTGGCCTAATATGAATACTCAACTTGAAGATTATCTGTCACATTGTCAAGCTTGTCTAACTTATAAAAAACAAAATTGTAAGGAACCGTTAATGCAACACGAAGTACCAAATAGGGCATGGTCTAAAGTAGGAATAGACGTTTTTCACTTCGGAACAAAATCGTTTGTCCTCATAATAGACTACTATAGTAAATTTGTAGAATTAATAAAAATTCATTGCTTAAAGTCAGAATTAATTGTTAAAAAAAATTAAACAAGTTTTTAGTAGACACGGTATACCCGAAATAGTTATGACCGATAATGGCCCTGAGTTTGCATCTAACACTTTTCGCGAATTCTCACATGATTGGAAATTCCAGCATGTGACGTCATCGCCGAGATATCCTCAATCTAACGGCCAGGTCGAGCGTGCCATACAAACAATTAAAAATATGATGAGAAAAACGGCTTATGATCAGGCGGAGTTCCCATTAGCGCTCCTTGAATATCTAAATACACCAATCAGTAAGGAACTCGCTAGTCCAGCGGAGTTGTTATATAATAGAAAACTCCGCAGTATACTTCCGTGTTCTCCAAATTTATTGTTACCAAAAATTAATACGGACGTAATAAATAAATTAAAACACCGTCAACAAAAGCAAAAAATGTATTACGATAAAGGTGCTAGAAAATTAAAAACACTAATAATTGGACAAAAAGTTAAAGTTCGAATTAACAAAACATGGGTATCAGGTTTTATTAAAAGTATTGTAGGTCCTAGGTCATATTTAATAAGCGTGGCAACGGGTGGTGTATTAAGACGAAATAGGAAGCATATCATAGTTGATTCGAACCAAAGAATCGATGAATCATCTAATCTACGCACTCAGTACGATGATATCGCTGTAAACAATAACAAAACCTCCGCGCACGCGCCCTCCCCGCACGGCTCCAGTACTCAGCTGCGAGCGCCTCACTTGCAACAATCTGATGGATCAACTGTTTTCACTAACTGTTTTTATCGTACACGTTCCGGCAGGGAAGTGAGACCTCCTGATCGATGGGGCTTCTCCACACCACAGAAATGACAGCTATGAATAATGTGAGGCAAAAAACTTTATTTTATTTTATTTAATTATAGGATTGATTTTTTATTATTAATTATATATATAAATTATTTTTATCAATAACAATAAGTCGAAAGCAACAAGTTAATTGGATTTTGTTTTTAATAAATATTATATAAATTACGCATTAATAAATTATATTAATATGATTAAGTTACACGTTATAATTATATGAATAAATTCATGTATTATTATAAATCAAATTGTTAATTTTCATGCTTTTATTTAAGAAATGTTTTTATTATATTAAGATTATTACTTGTGGTTTTAAAAAAGATTAGTGTTAAACCTCGACCCTTCATAATTTCTTAAGAAGGGGATTGTAGGTATCTTGAAAATAAATTATAATATTTTGCATGCAGGTATATAATAAAGATAGTCTTGTCTCAACTCCCGTGTTTGATTGCCGCATCCTAACAATACAAAATTAACAGGCCCGCTCCATATACCTCTGGCCGCACCAATGATTTATAGAGCCTCTTATAATCACTCTGGAAGAGACGATTCTGCTTGAACCGCCTTGACCTCTCGCTAAATCGTCGAATCCGCTTCCCCCCAAGCAGCGATATTTTGCTTCAGGTCATCTATGCGCTCCGTTAGTTTCTTCGTGATATACGGCTGTGACAAACTAATATTTATTTCAGCAAACGCTATTCTAACGGTGTGCAACAACCCTCGGTCTATTATTACCCGACCTGAAGCTTGTCAGTCTGATGATAAGGGCCCTTGCCTTTGCGATACGATCCTCGATTCTTTTTCTCCAGGCCGGGATGGCGCTACTTTGTCGAGTCGAGCACTTCCAGACATGGGATGTTTGGCGCCAATAATACGGAAAACTGCCAGTGCGGTGCCGAAAAGAATTGAGTCCGTCTCGTAAAGGTCCCGGCCGGCTTTCAAATAGGTCACCAACATTGCACCATTGCATTGCACCGTTGCAATATTGCAACCCGCACGACAGCCCGATTCCGCTTGCTTAGGGGTATGCGGAGAAGTCACGGTCGATTTTCTAGAGGTGTACTGCGCGTTTCCAGCATCGACTCTTCCAATATGCTCCTCATTTTCTCTGGTTCGTAGGAGACTATTTCACCATCGTCTGAATCAACCACAAATGGAATATCCACGGCAGCATCCATATATGCAGTTTGCTGCGCAATTAGTGGCGCCGCATTCCCTGCCATAGCATTTCCATCCGATGAAGGAACAGCCTCACATCGTAGTCGTTCGAGTTTGGCGCCACCAAATATGTTGGAGCGCAGGATGTACCGAACTCGGTCTGCCAGGTTTTGCTCAGTGACGGATAGAGATGGCTCCAGCTCTGCAAAAAAGCGATGCATCCGAGCCCGATACGCCAAACATCCAGTTTCTTCCCCTTTTGCCCTAAGTACGCCCGCAGTGCGTTTGCGTTCATTATTTGTGTTCAACGCATGTGGCGTGCTCCACCAGCGGTGGGTGCCGCTTACTGAGTCTGAGAAGACCCATCCGACACCCAAGACTTCTGGTGGGGATGATGGATGCGGGGGGCTGCTAGGTGGTCTTGCAGCACCCCACGCTTGGCTGGCAGCCCGCATGCTGTCGCGTCCAGCGCCAGTTCCAGACGCGCCCTGGTGACCTCCAGGCAGTAGCCCTTTGCGCACTATCTTTCTGTCCATCATCCATGATTTGGGCGTCCATTAACCCTGGTCGGTCTAAGAGGATTAAAAATCAAAAAAACCTATATTCAAAAATGACTCTGCTCTTTAGGTACCTTCCTGAATTAATACAATTGGGCTATTACCCAGTACGAAAGAGGCGGGGCTCTGAAAAGGACGAACCACGTATGTAAAATTTTCATAACCTATTATTATGCAATATTCGTAAGACAACTCCTTTTTGTTTTTTATATTATAATTTCGTTGATAATTAATGAACTTTAATTTTATTGTATTATATTGTGTTTGTTTTCAGTTTTAGATTACTTTTATCATCTTTTTATAAAAAAAATGGACGAACAGCAGCAAAGACGCATATTGAGCTGGTTAGAAGAAGATGCCGATGACATCCTCGACAGTGATGATGATGGTTTACTGATAAAGTGAGTGAGCATGATACTGACTCAGAACAAGAATGTGACGATGATTTTCATCAAGTATTTTCGAATTATGACGAATCTTCGGAAATATCAAACGAAGAGCACTTGGGTTTGGGATTGGTGAACGAATCTATGGAGGCTCTCGAATCTGCGTTCGGTGATTGGGATGAAGAACCATTGATAAATATTTCGTCCAGTAACTTTTACATGGCAAAAAAGAGAGAGAAACTACAGTCGAGGGCAAGTATTACGAATTTGCCGCGTGACTTGAAACAGATAGTTCAAGAAGATTTGTACCACCACTTCAGGATATTCAACCTGAAGTAAACGTAGTGCCAATGAGAAAGAGATGTATTCATAGTCCTCGAAGAACAGACAGGAAATTTAAATCTATTTGTCAGTTTTCTAAGCGCAACATTTGTACTGAATGTGTTCGTACTGAAAATTAATTAAGTTTTTTAATATGTCAAAGTTTATACTTTTTTGTGATTAAGTGTACCAAATTTTACAATAAAAGATATACAATTTCTTTTTCATCTGGATTACTTAAGTTTTTATAATAGATTATAATTTCTGTTGTTTTTTTAATTTTAATTACCTAGTGATCTCCGTGATTAAATTACCTAGTGATAGTGAGAGAAATTTTAGTTCCTATTTCTAGTATGTAAGTTAAAGCTATAAATATATAAATTACTAAATGTTTTTTGACTTTATTTTATTGATATTGAACCAAATAAGATTATAAAATATAAAATAATGTAGGTAAGTATATAAATTTATGTATTTTTAACTAATTTATTTTAAGGGCTTTCAAAGACCCCACACGACGAACGACGTTACAACAAAAGCGCAACTAACCGAGGGTTAACGGGAGACGCCCAGGCCCGGCACCGTATCGTGTGCGGCCATAAGCACAAACGGGCCTTTGAACCCTAAATTCTGCCGAGGCACGGCCCTCACACTTCTCGCAAGGCGCTGACTGACTGCGTTGACGTAGCAGTTTTGTCACTTAACTGTTACGTCAGTGGGCGATGGGATAGTCAATTCCCTACGCCATTTTATTATTATTATAATATTATTTCACCATTTTTTTTAAAAGATAAAGATAAAGATATTTTATTTTGCAAATATGGGTACAGTACATGGAAATATAGGTAGTGAGTTCAGCCATATTTTACCAGTAGGCATGCAAAATACACAGAAATATAAAGTAATCACCAAAACAGCTATAACGAAATAAAATAATAACACAAAAACAAACATAATTCAAATTTTTAACATTATACAGTCTTAATCTCAAAATAAAAAAAATCAGTCAAGAATTCTGTTACGCTATAGTATGCTTTGACTGTCAAGAAGCTACGAAGCCTTTTTTAAATATCGATAGTGGCAATTCTTTCCAACTTTTTGGTATTTTATCATATATGACTGGAGCCATGCAGTATATACTTTTGCGCATTAGTGCTGTTTTAGCGGATTGATGACACAAAAGGGTATTGTCGCGTCTATTACGTGGAACTACTTGGTCAAGGCGTTTAAAACGTTTTAGATGCAATTTAACAAACACTGCTTTTTCTAGTATGTATAAACAAGGTAATGTCAGTATTTTATACTGTTTAAAATATGGCATGCAACTATCGGTAGTTTTAAGCTTAAACATCGCCCTTATGCATCTTTTTTGAGCCTTAAACGCTGATTCTTTTTCGGTTGAGTAACCGCAAAATATTATTCCATATCGTAGGTGGGAATCTGTTAAGCCGTAGTAAGCAGTGAGGAGTGCATCCGTGTATACTATTGAAGACAAAATATGTAAAGCATATGCGGTTCTACTAATTTTTTACATAAAGTATTAATGTGTGCTTTTCCATTATTGTAGTGTACATTTAGGCTCATGCTAGGAATCCGTTGACTGAAATGGATAACTTTTGTTTTATTTAAGTTTATTTTTAAATTGTTTTCGTCTAACCGGTTTACAACTAATTTTAAGGAGTTATTAATGTCATTTTCATAGGTCTCTACATTTTTACATGGTATTGTCACTGTTTTATCATCCGCAAACAGTGTTACTGGTTGCTCAATGCATTTAGGTAAGTCATTGATGTACAATATAAATATAAAAGGACCCAGCACACTCCCCTGTGGTACTCCAAATTTAACTTCGCGCTTTGACGATCGAAATATCTCTTCCTTCTTATTTGCTATATTAATTTGATTAATTTCAGTTATTTGTATTCTTTAAGTAAGATTCAATTAGATTAAGAACATTGCCTCTAATGCCATAGGCTTCAAATTTTTCTAAAAGTGTAGCGTAATTTACATAATCAAATGCCTTTGTCATGTCGCAAAATATGCCACAGACATGCCTACGTTTATCGATATTGTTAATAATATTGTATATAAAGTCATATATGGCCATATTGATTGTCCTATGTGGTTTAAATTCTTTTTGTTCCTCACAAAAAATGTTATATTTTTCAATAAATTTATATATTTCCTTATATATATATATATATATATATATTTCTCAAATATTTTTGAAATTACGGGAATAAGTGAGATGGGCCGATTTACTGTTTCTTTTTGTCAATAGTTTAAAAATTACTTCGCAGATACTACTTACCGATGGCAGCTCGGCTATAAATTCTACAAATTTTCAGGGACAGACGATTTATATAATCAATAACTACTATTTATCACTAATATAAACTGGTATCACTGCAACCGAAAGTATTGCACTATGGTTATGTACGCCACAACTTTAGCTATCGATAAGTTAATTAACCATGCGAGTTTGTCTGCCGAACCGGTTTGTAGTTTTTATTTAGATGTTATAATAAAGTACAGTCATACCTCGACTTACGCTACCCTGTTTTAATAATAAAAATCAAACTTTGTGAATTGGCAAAGAAATTTGACATTTGAATCAACAGTTCGAACGGCTATAAAAAGTAAAGAAAAAATTACCGAAGCTGTGAAAGGCTCTTAATCTTTGAATTCAAGCATCATTCGTAAACATTACGGTAATATTGCTCAGATGGAAACAATGTTAAAATTATGGTGTGATAATCAAGAAAGACTTTAAAATTGTCCTGTTGATCAAAACACAGTGTGCTTTCAAGCTAAGCAGATTTTTGAGAGACTAAAAGAAGAAGTTGAGGAAGCAGCCAAAAATGAAGAGTTTAAAATTATTAACGACTTAAAAGTCGTTGTAATTAGCATAGCATCGCAGAAAGTGGAGAGGCGGCAAGTGCTGACAAAGAAGCTGCATCTCTTTATCCAGGAATACTTATGAAAATGATTGAAGATGGTGGCTACTCTAGCCAAACCATTTTCAAAGTAGACGAAACCGGTCTTTTTTGGATGAAAATGCCTAAAGAACTTTTCTTGCGCGTGAAGAGAAAAACTTTCCAGGTCTTAAAGTCGCCAAATAGCGATTGACAGTGATGGTCGGTGCAAAAGCAGCTGGTAATTGTACGTTGAAACCCCTCTTAGTTTATCGCTCAGAAAATCCAAGAGCCTTTAAAAACAAATCTAACGCTGGTTTGCCCGTCATTTGGAAATCTAATGCGAAAGCTTGGGTGACAACTTCTCTTTTTGAGGACTGGTTTGGTCATCATTTTATTTCTGAAGTCGAACTTTATTGCCAATTGAAATAAATTCCCTTTAAGGTGACGCTACTATAAAATACAAAAATACCGAATTAATTCCGATCCACGGGTGGAAGTTGTATTTTTGCCACCAAACACTACCAGCTCGCTTCAACCAATGGACCAGAGATTCATTAAAACATTTAAAGCTTCCTACACAAGGCGATCATTTGCACATCTAAATGAAGCTATGAGACTAAATAACGAGCTTTCTGTCAAAGACTTTTGGAAGCAATTCAATGTTTTAGATGCATAAGAATGAGATTTCACAAAAAACTCTGAATGGCATCTGGATAAAGCTGTGTCCATTTTTTGTTACCACAGAAACCCATCAAATCAGCCTCAAATCCTGAACAAATTAATGGTATAGGGTTTGTCAACAGAGTCAGCCATATTATGTTTGAAGCAAACTGTGAAGTACTATTTGGTTAGACGAACGCCTATTTATGCCTGTTTTCTGGACCTTAGCAAGGCGTTCGACCTGGTGAATTACGATATCCTATGGCAGAAATTGAAAGATACTGGACTGCCGGAAGAAGTTACAAGAATCTTCAAATTTTGGTATCGAAACCAGGTCAATGTCGTGCGATGGTCCGAAACCTATTCGCAGCCATATATGTTGGAGTGCGGGTTACGACAGGGGGACTTAACTTTCCCTAAGCTCTTCAACATTTATGTGAATGCCAGTGGCGAAGCTAGAGCTCCAAGCTAGGGCAAGTCCAAGATATAAATTGATAAAAATATAGATTGTTGTTTTTAGCAGTTTTATAAAATTACACCAATCTTGAGCCACGCAGTTCATATTCATGGCGGACATGTTTAACAAAGCACACAGATGGCATACCACTGCTAGATAGATTGTATTACATATCAGCAATTGCATAGCTTCGGTGGCTTTGAAGAAAGCCCTTTGGGTTTGTTTAAGCGAAAGAAAAAAAATATTTACATCCAATACAATACATGAACAAAAGTAAAACACGAACAAAGTACAAAAAACTATGTACAAAATTAAAAAAAAAAATTATTTACATTCTAATGGATAAGAGATAAGATAAGTGGAATCGTCTCGCTTTCTTATGGAAAGATTTAATTACGTCCACGTATAATGTTGGTGAACGTTTTAACTGTACCAATAACTGTTTTAATTGCGATAATTGATAAGTCTGAAATACACTCTTAACCTTGTGTATTATCTCAACAAAGTTTAAAGATTTCTTCTACGACTATCACTTTAACACACTTCAATTCATCACAAGGAACACTATTATCCTCCATTTTCATTAAAAATCTTTAAAAACGCATAAATTTTGAACTCGCAATATTAAATCGCTTAAGATAAGCACAGAAAAAATTATAAAATGTTCTTTAAAATTTAGGCTGTAGCTACAGTGGAGCCACCCTTATTTAATACTTTCCTACGGACACTATTTTATACAGAGTCCGTACTCCTTACCTCTACACTCCATACCATGGAAGTTAAAGAACAGGAGATCGATCGCTGCGTGCCAAAGCATAGCCTGTCTGTCCTTGAAAATTTGTAGAATTTATAGCCGCGCTGCCGTCGGTAAGTACCTAGTATCTGCGAAGTAATTTTTTAATTATTGACAAAAAGAAACATTATAAAATGGTGAAATATTATTAAAAAATAATAATAAATCAATAATAATTAATTATTTATATTTTTAATAACTAATAATTTATAATATTTATGATAATTAAAATTATAAAGGCAACATTTATTTATTAATAAATAATAATAATTATTATTATTTCGTTATTTTCTTTTTTTCTTTGAGTGATATTATAATCATTTTAAACTAGCGCACAACAGCCCGCTTTTATTGAGACAACTTGACGATCGCAGCGCCTCACTTATTTTGTCCATATTTCTGGGACACTATTTTCTACAGCGATCGTTCTGCTGTACTCTAACCGCTCTAACCTCCATGCTCCATACTTAGACCTATGGAGTGTAGAAGTAAGGAGTACCAACCCCATAGTAGAATAGTTGAAAATGTGGCCATCTGTAAGCAGTAAATAACTGTTAAAACTCTCCACAACAGCGCTGGAGTAGCTGCTGGGATGAAATGAACTTAGCAGTTGTTGACGGTTTAAAGTGTGCTGCTAAACTTCTCAGTAGCTTTAAAATCTAAAATAATTTTATGTAGCAAATATAACCTCGAAAAAGTCGTCTATCCCACTAATATTTTTCGGCACGTTCTTTAAAATTTAGCCCGTAGCTATAGTGGCGCCACCCTTATTTAACGGTTTTCTATGTACACTTTTTACCCATTGACTCGGCTACCGATCTAATCAGATCATACAATACCTACCTTACGTCGGCTCTGGTACGGGTCGAATTAGATCAGGTCGGATCAGAAGTAATTCCTTATGAAAAAACTATTTTTTTCTTTAAAACAAAACCAAAAAAAAAAAGGAATCACTCTGAACTTTCGGCGTTCCACGTGTCGTTTTGATGAAGGTGCTCCGTCTTTTTTATAGAATTTTATATTTGTGTCTGGACTAAAAACGAAAGTATTATACTTTTTTATATTCCTTGTAATATAGTGAACACGTAGATATATAATTTGTGGTATAAAAAGTGAAAAGTAAATTGCCAAAAGTACTTCAAAATCTGGAAGACCCATTTTGGCGGTTGGGTCATAAATGTGTTATTTTTCAAATTCTCATTTATTTTTAGTGTAAAATGTAAGTAAAAATAGTTTTCTTACATATTTCAAATAACTTGACGTTGTATTTATTTCAAATTCACACATAATTATTTTTGAAATATTGTTCTAAATGTCACATAGATAAAATATTATTATTGTTTTTTTTTTAAATTTTTCAATATTACAATATTTTGGTATGAGTAACGAATGGAAACATATAAAACATAAAAATATACATATTTCCAAACATTTTCATATAAATTTCTCCAAAAACAAAAGTGTAGAATTCAAATTAGTAGCAATTTTGTCACTAAAATTGAAGTATATGCTACTACTATGCTATACAGGGTAATTTATGTATTTTATTACAATTTCTAGCAACTAAAAATAATTTTATTCGATAGTTTATACATTCAACAAGAAATCCTGTAAGTTTTATCCATAAATATTGTCTCAAAGTGAAAATATAGCAAAATTTGCAATATAGCAAAAAATTTTCTTACTTACAAATTTTCCCGCCATTAAGGTCCCGAGCGAACGGGAGTATAACATGTCGCGCGCTGTCAGAGCCTGGGAGTACACAGTACTAGATCTATGGCTGGAACCGTCTACGGTTTTTTTTTTACGGTTTTTTAAATTATTTTTTATTAAGATTTTTAGCTTGGATGCTTGTTTTTTAAGCCATGTCTTAGTTTTTATCGGGATATTTGTTTTTTATAGATTTTTTTCTCCATAATAATGATGCGTCACATTACGAACTTTTTGGAGGTTTTGACGACAGCTCAACCAAGCGGACAGTCGATGACGACAGTCACGCAAGTTCATATGACGCCTCAGTGATCCAAAAACTTGAGGTATTATATCGACATCGAAGCACTTGTCTCATCGTTTTCTCTAATATTTCACTTGAGCAGATACATAATACACAAAATCGCATCACTTCTACGTATGGCAATTCACTTCAAGCCATTATTTAAACGATAAAACAGGAGTAACAATTCATTGATAGTCAAAACTCTTCTAAATTAATGTGCAGTTAAAAGCATAGATTATATTATATACATAATTCATACTGAGAGTTGAAAGTGAATTGCAGCTTGCTTAAGATACAAAATTAATATTTTTATGTATTATGGTCAAATTTCGACCACTGTACGAACATTAGTACGTACAAAAACGTATCTTTGAAATGCATGCATGATGAATTTCCTTGATATCACAAAAACGTTAAACGTTACACTTTTTTCGAATCCAAAACAATTCACGTCAGATAAATAGGTAAACGATTATTTTGTTGGCAAAAATGAAATCGGAATTTCACGGTAAATGCTTAAGTTTTAACGCCCAACACGCCAAATGGCTCGGTTCTAATGGCATATGATCAGACACAACTAGTTAGTTCGCCCACGCTAATTCCAGATGTGGAAGATCATACACCTTCCCTGTTGGACTTGCTCACTTTCCATCTGGACGGCCATCAGGTCTCCGTCGATAACGTCGCATCTTGGCACTATAGATCAGCGAATTGGGATGGGATGTGGGTTTTTTTTTTGCATCCTACCTATGGGGGCGGATTAGCTTCTCGATAGACGATCCCTAAAAATTCGTTGCTTGAATCTGTCGCCGATGTGATACTTCAGGGGATGGAACTTTTCGTTCCCTCATCGGTAGTGCGGCAGATCCCAGCCTTGGTTTGGACGCTCCTGCAAAATTGCTTCGCGTAAAAAGTAGGAGTGTTTCAAAAGCTGGGCTGACGCATTAGTCCAGTCATTTAAGCTTAAATTAGGTAAGAATCTCGGAATTCTGTAAATACTTGTATATTGACACCCTAAAAGTTGTCTCAAAACCTACATATGGTAGGGTGTACGCATCTATTAAATTTGAAGGTCAATGGTCAAAAAATTAGTTTTTTGTGCTTTTTTTGTAAATATCTCATTTCCTATGGGTTTTTTTGCTAAGAATCTAGGAATACAAAATTCTCTACAAATTTTGTTTAAAAATTTTTTTATACGGTGAACCGTTTTCGAGATAGAGGGCGGAGAGCGCGCAGTCACAGCATCACTTCAGGTCAACCGGTGCCTCTGGTCGAAAACGCGCCATATATAGTTGATGAACTATC